ACTTTATTTGCTTATGTGTGTGTCTTCTTTTCAATAATAAAAAATTGTTCAGAAAATATTCAAATTCGGGTGTTTTCAAAATGCTTATTGCAACGAATACATCGACAAAATCTACAGTTTTTGTCGCGAAATAAACCATAAGAGATATATAGAACATGATATTGAAAAGAAATTTTGACCATTCATTCAGTTTTCGCGGTTTTAAATTATTTATTCAAAATCAATGCAACAAGTTGTTTGCTTTTTTATTGTTTTGATAGTAATTCTGACATTACAAGCCAAACAGGTAGACCTCTATACTTGCAATTTTTTCAAAGTTGACCTACCTTCTCTTCATTGTACCATGGAAGAAATGACTAAAACATGGTAGAATTAAAAAGTTATTCTACCTAATTCTACAATGAACTGACATAAATTCACATAAAATGTTAAGCAGATCAAATTAGATTGTCTATGGGATTTCCCCCGAATATTTGGAGGTATTACGAACGCATAACTCCTGGCTATACAAATTTAACGGCCGGTTTACATTTACATACATACAAACACCGTTTTACTTTCATTACAAACGTATATCACCATTCCCACTTTATATCAAGGTAAAGTTCACATTTATAAATACACAAATATTTACAAGATTCACCATCATCTAAAAGTCACGACGTTACCAGGTCGTCATCACAGCTAAGTATTTCCTCTCAAACATTTTTATATAATCAAAGAAATAAATTCAATTGAATTTGCGGCCAAAGTAGTGACAGACAGACAGTAGGCTTATCAAAGAAATCCTCAATTAAACATTTTTACGAATATTCCACATTTTTCTTTGGCGATTGTCATCATTCTTGAATTGGTGACAATGCAAAGTGAACACAAAAGATACATTAAGGGTATGCAGATATAAGAGCGGACATTCACATTGAATAAGCAATGTGACGTAATAAACTACAAATACAAGTGCAAAGAAATTAACGAATGGAATAAAAAACATAAGTTGATTTTATTCAGTATTTTTTATAAAAATATATAGTGTAGATATTTTCACTAAAATTAAAAAAAAAAAAAAAAAACATTTGTCCAAGTGATTGTCCCTGATAACCTATTATAAAACCCAAAAATCCAAAAGCAAAACAAAAGAAAAACAAGTAAAAACAAGTAAGCAAAGGCTACAGTAGAGCGGGGCTGACCGTTGAATACCCTACAACACTATAATAAACGATACAGATTATATAGGCGAGATACTCGAAAGAATTCCACAAGATATTGTGACAAATAATAAAAGAAAACCATCAGGTTTCGTTCTCTAATTTTCGAATAATAGCAACTTAAACTAATTTGCTCATTTCCAATTTATTGGTAGATGTTGCACTTAAATGGTCTTCCTAGATCTGGAACCAATATTTCCCAAAGACCTAACATGTCTTAGAAGTGGTAAAAGATTAACATTTATTATTGGTTTTTGACTGAAACGCATCTATATGAGATACAGACATTTGACTATAATCTTCAACGAAATCAGCGTTAACGAAATAGTCAGAAGTGCGTCTTTCCTGTATTTGTGAATTCTCCAAAAAGTCACTGGAATGGATATTTTCGTATTTTGTCTACAAAAGTTGGCAGACTATTTCACACATTGAATATTTTTGGATGGCCATCCGAAACTGCTTGGCTTTTGCAATGTCCGGTAACCCCCATAGTTACGATAATTACGACCTGCTAACAATTTTGCAGTTTTTTGGTCCATTTCAACCCCTAAATATATGGTGATCATCCCCAAAAAGAGTAAAAATTTTGAATTTTTTCAACACAAAAGACATGGTCTATTTTACCCGATAAATATTATTCGATGACCACCCAAATTGGTAGGCTTCTTCCCCGCCCTAAACTCTAGCTACATGCGTCGATTGGTCTATAATTGCGACCTGTATAGCCACTGCAAAGTCCGACAATTTTTCAGTATTTGGTCCATTTCAACCCCTAAACATTTAGCGATCATCAGAAATAGGCTTCTATTCTGACCATAACCCCACCTTCGTGCAAAATTTCGTTAGGATCGGGCCATAATTGCGACCTGTAGCGTGATTACAAATTAACATGGACAGACGGACAGACGGACGGACGGACATACATAGCTAGATCGACTCAGCTCGGCGAGCTAGGAAGATCCATATATACTTTCCTATATGGGAAACCAATATTTCGAGGTGTTACATAAATTCTGGCCCAATCAAACTTATAATACCCCCAACACATAGTGTTGTAGGGTATAAACATTAAGTTCGGCCGGGCTGAGCTTTTAATACCCTCCACCATATGGTAAAGGAAACATTAGAACCCATTATCACCCACAAATACCAATTTTTAGACATGTAATAACAAAACGTGGACCGATATATCTCATTTTCAATACCAACCATCCTAGGCACAATACAAATTGTTCTGCTTAATTTTGATGCTCTATGTCAAATAATGTGAGATGTATCATGATTTCAACAGACAGGCAGACGGACATCGTTTAATCGATTTAGAATTTTATGCTGATTATGAATATATATACTTTATGGGGTCTACGACGAATATTTAGGGATATTAGAAACGGAATGATAAAGTTAATATACCCTCCTTTCCAAGGTGGAGGGTATAAAAATGGTGAAGTTCAAATTTCTTCCAATGTACAACTTAGCTAAGGCCTTTCCGTTCCTCGGTTCCTTTAAATGGGGACTTTTTCATTAGTCTAATGGCTAGGAAATAAATATAACAATTGATATGTTCAAAATGTGTCTTGTCAAAGTAAAGGATTTAATTTTTTTTTTTAACGAAATCAGCTTTAGGATATGTGAAGCCAATCTAACTATGACCGTTCGTCAGCCGGCTGGTGCACACGATAACTCGCGGTGGGAGTTAAATTTTTATCGAACTTTAATCGACTCACCTTAGAAAAATCATATATTTTAAGGAAAACAAAAGTAGGTTCGATTTGGTTGAAACATCGCATTTTTTTTTCATTCTCATAAACCTTTTTCTGCCCTCCAAATTTGTGGCCTTGAAGTCATTTTTGGTGAGTATCATATCTTGTAAAAAGTTAAAAGTTTTCATTTCCCATCCGAGAAAAAGTTATTGCACAAAACATGTGAACACATACAATCAATAAAACTTTATGTTTAATGACAATTTTTTTATAATTTTTTTCTGGTTCTAAAATGTAAATATTAGTTCACTTCACGATACTTCGTTTTTTAGTTCTTTGAAAATGTTTAGAATCAGTTATATTTGATTGGTTAAAAAGGGAAAGTACCCAAATACAATAAAAATTGGATTGCTGGAAAAGGGGAATGAGATAGAATTTTTAAATTTGAATGAGAGTCACTGATGGAGTGTAGTATAGATGTACTAAATTTGGAATTGAGTTAATGTATAGAACTGGAATCCCGAAATTTGATATTGATCTGTGTTGGTTTTTCAAATACGTTTTATAATTGTAAGAAATGTACTAAATGGTACAAAAACATTCATCTTCTGTTTGATTTTGAGGATATGTGTACTAAATGTTACTACATTTGGTATAAGGTGAAGGGATAGAGCTAAAATTCTAAAATTTGATATTGAGATCACCGATGTTTTTTAGGGTTTATATATAGAGGAGTTGAAATAGTTTTGAATCAAAAAAATTGAATCTGTGTCCATGGTTTTACTAACATCCTCCTCAGTAAACTTCAAAATGAAGAATTTTTGGTGTAAAAGGTAAACTTTTGGCTATTATTCTTTCCGAAAATGGAATAACTTGAATTATATGTAGAAACTTGAAAATCTAAAATTTTACTACGATCTATAAAGTTTTCATTAAAATATGTTGATAAACTGAAGAAATTGTGCCTTTTTAGTCCCAAAAAATCCTCACAAACTGTTGGAACAAATCTAAGATTTTAAGTTGAACTTTTCGTTGACAATATATCTCCCCAAAAAATATACCTCCCCAAAATAGAGTGAAAATTCACATCGTTATTTTTAACCCCTTCTGAACAGCAACAATTTCATAAAATCTTTATCTCGCATAAATTATGCGAATTTTTTTAGCTTAAATAAAGAATTTTAGGTTAGAGAACCTCAAATGATGATATACGTTTTGAGATGCTGTAATCGTTCTAATACTTCTTACAAGAAATACAAAAATTTAGTCTTTTAAAAAATCAAGTATAAAATGTTAAGTTCGGCCGATATTTGAAGGAGCTCCAATTTAAACTGCAAATATAGGTGGATGATGCATTTAAAGTTTTCATAAAGTGGGCGGTACCGTTATATGAGAGCAAATGTCTGCTATCGAATATCAAATTTTAAATAATTTTATTGATAAATGTGGCTAATATCATCAGAATACAGAATAGTGGGAGATATCCATATCTGGAGTCTATAGGGAGGTATCGATATATATATGGAGACTAACGAGAGGTGGGGCTATGTAAGGTCTATAGGAATACGTGGATCTATATAGACAATATTCTGCCTACGGATATAGAGACCACTGCATATTCCGTTAGATAATATGCCTGAAATCGTCAAAATACCGAATATCGGAAGGAACTGTTATATCGAGGTTATACAAAACCATCTTCCGGTAAGGTTCCTATTTACGAGCTTGACCTACGTACGGACAAAATATTACTATACATTTATTTTAACCTTTTATCACAATTCTTACAACAGGCAGAGGTCATCGCTACATCGATTTAGAATTTTACGCTGACCAATGGATACTGTAGGTAAAACATTACAGAGGTAAATATTTGGTAGATATTTTAAATATTTAACAGCAATATATAAATTGCTCTCCAGGATATTCCCGTCGAAAATAAAAAAAAACATTGGGAATGCACAAAATTAGTAAATAAAATGTTATTTTTTTTTGATACCCGAACAAACCCAATATGATTTCCAAAAACAGGGACTAAGTTCATACAAATTACAAATCATATTAAGAGGATTTTTTTTATTTTCAAACTCACATTATTTTCAGTCGATAAATTGATTTAAATATAAATTATTTCACAATATCGAATTTTCTTTCGTTTTCTTCTCTACATCAATTTGATTAATACACATCCATTAAATCCAGATCAGCATTGAGACATGAACTTCTTGACGACACTTATGTTAGTTATTTTTATTTATCACTCACTTCTGTTATTGTGCTTTTCGCTAGTTTGTTATCCGAGTCACAACCACTATTTGTAGAAATAAATTTAATAAATAAAATAAAAATGTGGATTTATTTGTAGTTTTATTCAAACTGAGAGGAAGAGAGAGTCAGAATCTTTTGTGACACTTTCATTGATTTGCACCCACACAAAACACCCCGGGCTGACGAAGAGATGAAATGAGAGTGAGAATAACATGTTAAGCCAGCCACATCCAGCTCAGCCATCCCTTGAATGAAAACTGCTGTCAAAAGCGCATTTATCACACGTTATTCATCAATTTAATCAAACATACACACAAACATTTCTACATACAAGACACAACAAATACAATATAAAGATTTAAACGCCCGATGGGAAGCTGTGGGTGAGAGTAGTAAATCCCCACCACAATTATTTGTTATTCTCTCTATCACTCTCTCTCTCGCTCTTCCTCTTTACATATGTAGTTACTTTTCATATACGAGAATATGATCTTTATCGTTTTTTTTTTATTAAATTGGATTATAATCAAATTTCACAGATTTGTTTCTCTATTTCTTAATGGACAAATATTACCAGGTTACGTTAAAAAAATGTATTTAAATTATCACCTTTGCAGACAGATTTTAATTTAATTTCAATTTTTGGCACTTTTATTTACGATTAAATTATTTGCTAATTAATGTAATTTTGAAATGGTAGTTTCATTACATTAAAATGAAATTGCTAAAGCAGGTACGGTTCCACACGCACTTGAACATCTATTCATCAGCATTACATTTGTTATTATTTGTATTGTTATATTAATTTTGTAACAACAAACTACCAGCACCACCTCCAACAACAACCACAAACAGCGTACACAAAGGTGCCAAAATCCAATTTGCGCTTTTCCGTTTTTTATTAAATTTTTGTGTGTGTAATTTTTTGTATTTTATATTCGACCGTTAACTTATTTTACAATCCTCATGGCAAGCTCACACCTCCGACACGGTTTTTATGGAACTGACCGCTGCATGTCTTCTCATAATTCCATGGCGCACATTTAGCCCAAGTGTACATATGAAGCATAATGAGAGACAATGAATGGCGGTGTGGTGGTGCTCTTGTACGACGATATTTCATTGTGCCTATGGTTATTCTTTGTTCGGGTAAAAATAACCCAGTAGGAAATGTGACTAATATTTTTTTGAATCGTAAACGAATCAAGGGCATAACGAAGCGGATTGTTAATTGAGCAAGCTGTTTAGAGAATGTGTTTTATTTTAAAATAAAAATAAAATTAGAAATCTCAAGACATAGTTGTAAGTATTTCCCGTTTAAAATAGTGCATAATTTTGGCAATCTTTGTTATATTCTCTAATAAGCCGAACTATCAAAATTGTGTTAAACGTTCGTCAAAACTAACCTTGCATTATAAAATGGAGGTCATTTACCTTTAAATGGTCACACATAAATTAGAATGATCTTCTTACGACAAAAGATATCCAATATATATGTTTATATGGTAATATCTCCCATAGAACTATACATCTCAAGCTCAAGATTCTAATCAATTTCCTATGGTGTGTGAAAAATTCTCACAGAACTCTGAAAAACTCGCTCCAAAGTCCAAGACCACTTACTCTATTTTGAGCGATTCCACTCTAATTTTTCCAACAAGAGTGACTCGGGAGTGTTCTCATACAAAACAAATGAGCGAAGTGTAGATTCCGCATAAAACTCCCACTCTTCAAGCAATCCTGCTCGCGAGAGAAAATAAGAAAACCTTTGCTCTGATTTAATATCCTTTTCTTTATAAATTTCTGTTTTTATTGGGGTGAATTTTCAGCCAATTCTATTGGAAAATACAGGTGAGATCAAAAAAAAAAAAAAAAAAAACCGTCACACTCTGACCGAATGTTGCCTTGCGGTATTTAGCCCATTCCCGGCGAGGCGCTTCCTTGACGTGATCGATACTTTGGTATCTTTTAGTGCCATCCTTGCTTTCCAAAATACTCCCGACACAATAGTCCAACGGATTGGTATCCGAAGAGTTTGATGGCCATTGTGCGCTGGAAATGTAGCGAGGAACCTGATTTTGTAACCATTTTTGGGATGGAATGTCCAAGATCTGCGGCCAAAATGTTTGCGTGCCAAAAGCTTTAATACAGCTTCCAGAATATTTTCGCGATAATTTTTCGCCATTTATTCTGAAGTCATGGCCGATTAATACTAGCGGAGAGCGACCATCGTAAACGCAAGTAAACACGATCATTTTGTGTGTTTACAAACTGCTGGACAACGAATGTTTTCTCATAGGAGAAAAACAAATTCGGTAGTTCACCACTTTCGGCAAAGCGAAGCAACTCTTTATCTCTTTTGAGTCTATTTTCTTTCTGTTGCGGTGAAGGTTCTTGCACTTTTTGGAATTTCAATGGCTTTACCCCGAAATAATACCCGAAATTTCGGCCACTGCGACGCGGGTTTCGAGCAAGTCACTTCTTTACTTTCGAACCATTTCTGCTGATGTTGCTGTTTTCTTCCGTCCACTTCCTTGACATCGGGCTACGCTACCAGTATTACGATGAGCGATGGTATGAGACACAAAACATTTATTCGCATTCAAATGCTGGAGTGCTTCAACGATACCCATCTGTGGTTTTCCAGCCAAATATAAAGAAATCACACTATCACTCTTGAATTCAATCACTAATAACTTTTTTCTGGAAAATTATCAATATAATGAGCTGTCACTGGAATAATTTTAACGGCTGTCGGACGAGTGACTCAGAAATTACAGCAGTCTGAAGTTGGTTGCAGTTTTTTTATCTCACCCTGTATATGTTATGATGTTCCAAGTTTAGACTATAAATTTATATACTCCTTTCGATTCATATGAAAATGTGAAACGATATTGTTTATTTTCGTATTAAATTTAGTAAAAGCATTATGATACTTACTCACATACTTCCTTCGAGAGATCAGTCAGACAGACATAGCCAAAATAATACCAAATTTCCTGAGAGTAATTTCTCCCAAAAACTAACAACTCAGAAGCAAGTGATTAAATTTTACTTGAAAATAATTTTAAACAGAAACTCATGTACATTAGAAAAGTAGATCTTTCGAGTTGTCGATTATACATACCATTAGAGTAAACAAAGATTTTAGAAAATAGGGATCAAAAAAGGGCAATAAATATCTAAAAACTATTTTTCCTCTTAAATTCAACTATGTGTTTAAAGTGGCAAGGGTTCTCTAAAAGTACCACATTAACTATAAAACGTATTTAATATTAACAGACTATCAACGTATAGTTGCGAGTTCTTATACTATTAAATAAGATTTAAATCTGGATCCATCGCTTCTTAATTAAATTTACTATTCAAAGTTTTCGTAATTGCTTTATGTAAATGCAACTTACATTCAGAATGTTTGGGTTAGGTTTTGGGGCCAATTTACTAGCTAAGTAATAAACTAAATAAATAAAATAAAATTGGTTAATATGTATGAAATTCCTTCGGGTGTAAAGTAAAATGTGCATCAAATAGCCAACTAGCTTAAACATTTACAAGTTAAATTGAACTTGGTCTACCACCAAGTAGTCTACTGAGAACTAAAAGTACCAATATTATTCCTATTGGGTCATTCCCTATCAATCATTTAATTAACTGAGCAAAAGGAGAGTATTATGACCAATGGATATTTTTTCAAGCAACCTTCTTCTCACACACATTGAGAGAGAGAGGGAGAGAACAGTGATATACTATAATTGCTGTACGATTGTAAATATCGATTGTGTTGTCGGTGTGTATCTACGTGTGTAAAATTGTATCTAAGATACTTTGCAATGCTTTGTTGTAGGCACCTCTTTCTTTGTTGTTTTTGTTTACATAGAAGCTACTTTAGTTTTTTTTATCATTATTTTTGTTTTTTTTTTCAGCTTTTGTTTATATTTTGTTGCTACAGTTTTCGCCTTGTGAGAGTTTTGAGTCATTAGATGATCCAGTATGTCGTGTGTTAAATTAATATGGGTAACGGTTGTTGAAAAAACCTATGAATGAAATGGGGGGAAAACTTGTTATAATCTCAGCCTGAGTCTTAGGACGTTCTTCATAATATTTGCATCAGGGCTAGATCAGGTCGAAATGGGAATTATATGCCAATAACTCCCCCATAAATTTTAGCGTTATTTTAAAATGAAGAGGTAATTGTTAACAAAGGAATTTTTCTCATCTTAATTGATCTGTTTTAGAACTGCAAGAATATAAAACTTTTTACTACGGTAACCGATTTTACCTTTATGATATCGGAGAAAATTGCACTACTAGTAGATTCTTGCGGGTTCTGGAACAGACAGAATATGTTTGCCAAAATTTTTTTTTTTTTTCATGAAATCCTTCCCAAATGTCTTTGTTTCGTACCATTAGGCAGAGTCGTGGAATTTTTAAAAATGTCTGTTAAGTAAAAAATTTTTATTTAAAAGAATATTTTTAAATCATATTTCTGGGCACAAATCATTGATAAAAGCATTTTGGTGAGAATTTTCAGAAAAAAAGTTATTCATGATGGAATTCAGGCGTGATAGTGTGATTTCTTTACATTTGGCTGGAAAACCACAAGTGGCTATCGTTAGATCACTTCAGCATATAAATGTGAATAAATCTTTTGTGCCTCGTACCATCGCTCGTTACCGTGATACTGGTAGTGTATCCCAACGTCAAGGAAGTGGACGGAAAAAAACAGCAACATCAGCAGAAATTGTTCGAAAAGTAAAGAACCGACTTGATCGAAGCCCGCGCCGCAGTGGCCAAAAATGGCTCGTGAGCTGGGCATATCGCAATATTCCATTCGGCAAATATTGAAAAATGAGCTCGGGATAAAGTCATTGAAATTCCAAAAAGTGCAAGAACTTACACCGCAACAGAAAGAAGATAAATTTAAAAGAGCTAAAGAGTTGCTTCGATCGGCCGAAAGTGATGAACTGCCGAATTTGGTTTTCTTTGATAAGAAAACATTCGTTGTCCAGCAGTTTGTAAACAAACAACCTGATCGTGTTTACTTGCCAAAGAGGTCAGCTGGAAATGTGCACCTTCGGTTGGCCACCAGAATTCAAGCGCCGCCCATGGCGATGGTGTGGGCCGGCATAACAGCCGATGGTCGCTCTCCGCTCGTATTAATCGACATCAGAATAAATGCCGAATATTATCGCGAAAATATTCTGAAGGGTGTATTAAGACCTTGGGCACGCAAACATTTTGCCCGCAGACCTTGGACATTGCAACAGGACTCAGCACGCGCCACCCAAGAATGTTTACAAAATGAGGTTTCTCGCTTCATTTCCAGCGCACAATGGCTACTAAAATCTCCAGATACTAATCCGTTGGACTATTGTTTCTGGAGTATTGTGGAAAGCAAGGTTGGCACTAAAAAATACCAAAGTGTCAATCACCTCAAGCAAGCGCTTCGCCGGAAATGGACCAAAATACCGCAAAGCAACATTCGGGCAGCGTGTGACGGTTGCATTGTCCGAAGACTATAATTCATGCCAAAGGTGACCGATTCGAACAAATCTAAACTTATTCTAAAATTTCATGCTATTTCCGACATTTTTTGCTTGCTTTCAAAAAAAAAAAAAAAAATAAAAAAAAATGTAAAAATTATGGCGTTTGACTTTGTTGCAGTTTTTTTTTATTTGACCCTGTATATTGTGAATTTTTTTTAATTTATTTTAGGTAATTTCCTACTGGACAAACAAAATTTTTTTAGAACTATGTTCAGGAATCTTCCAACCAAAATTTGTATATTTTTTAAGAATAGTTTTAAAATGCCTTAGTGGAATGTTTAAGCATATTTTTGTAAGGTCTTCCTGGACAAACATCTCGGGCTTTTGAAGAAAATATGTGCAGGGACTTTCCGAACAAAAATCGTGGGGGTTTTCAGGATTTTTTTTTATTTTAAATATCTTTGAGAGCGCATTTTTAAGGAAAATGTTTAAGAAAAATGTAGAATTTTTTAAGAGTAATTTTGAGTATTTCTTGGCACATATATTTCATCCATCTTGGATTTTTTTGAATAATATTTAGCAGATATTATGTTCTACACATAATTTCACATTTTTCAAAGACCTAATTCCTCTAAATCGTGTGACAGGTAACCTTCAGATTGGCTGTTTCGGAACAAATCGTGTGACAGCCATTTACAAGGATGGCTTGAGTTTATATAGGGATTGAATCATCTCTAAATAAGAAGAAATTTATTTTCAGTGAAAAAACCAATTCCTCTCAATTTAAATAAGAGACATCCAATGCAATACATTATGTTCAACGAAGTCCTTTACCTTATTTACGTCCTTACAAATGATTGAATATGCCTGAGAACATTGAATATAACAGCTCAATGGTCTATTAAACCATGTCCCATATTGTATTATAAAACAATACCGATTATAGGTTTAATTAAAAATTATAATTAAACTATTAAAAAATGTCAACATGCCTACTGATCGTATATTGTCAGTCATGTGAAACCATTTAAGTCGTTTCTGGATGCTATTTGTTTATTTACAAGTGTTTTTTTTTTCTCTTAATTGTTATAATGCGATAATAAATTCAAAAATGAGAGTTTATCATCTGAACATTCCATAGTAATTTGACTTTTGTAGATAATTATAGTTTTACTTTTTTTTTTCTAAAAATTTGCTTAGCATTATTTGACTTATAGGCTGTTTGTGTATATCGAAACAATAGTGAATGCGAAAGAAAACCACAATTCCAAATGTATTTTTCATATTTTTGAATGAAAAATTCAGAGTTTGAAAAACACATTTGGCTTTAGAAACTGGCCATTAGACTCTTTGCTTTTTTTTTCTAAAATTAGTAGTTAAACAAACAATTGCAACGCTAAGGACAGAATGAAAACAATTCCACAGAAGTGCATCATAAGCTGGCTACTGTGTATTTTCGCATTGTACAAGCAATAACAAACTATCCTGTACAAATGTGTAGTTCAAGTTTTAAAAATTATACATAACTCAAAATTATAAAACCCGCGATTTTTATTCCTTATGTTGCAAGTTATATATAAATACATGCCAATTATACAAAAATACATGCTTCAATATGGATTGTTCCCGATACATTATCAATAGTAATGATATTACATTTAAGTTTTATTTTTCAAATACACCTCCGTTCGATATTTCACTACTTGTACTTACCCTCACTTTCTCTTTAATTTTAAAGCCAACTGAAACCACAATACACACTAGCAGACCCCCACAGACCAACTGATTACCAAGCAATTATTAGCGTTCAAAACAATTCAAAACTACTATAAAATTCAAATATAGACTATCTCAAGTATTACCTTCAACCCAGATAACGATTATTAATCCGATTATCGCAAGATTATGATATTAGAAACTGTAAAAAAGTGTGCGAAAAAATGCGATAAGATATAAAGGAAACAGCAAGGGTTATTTTAAATTAACAAAATAAATGTTTCGTATTTTTGTTTTATTTTACCTTTGAAATTGTAATTAGTTGTAGTTGCCCGCAAAGATGACTCGAAAAAGTAAGCTAATTGAACTCATTTTATCACGGAGTAAGGTACTCGGATAAGGATATCTAAATAAATTAGCGGTTAAATATTGAAACGATATATGTCAATAATATTCAAAATTATTAAAACAATTCTCACTAAAAATCACAGCATAAAATATCGTTCGCCGCCTCGATTGTGTTTTTTGATTAGTCAGCATTATTATCGATAACAGCTCTTTTCATGACCGTTACTACTTTCTTTCGATACTGTTGGTACAGTACAGAGAATTTATGTGAATATTTTTATACCCTACAACACTATGTATTGGGGGTATTATAAGTTTGATTGGGCCAAAAATTATGTAACACCTCGAAATATTGGTTTCCAACATAGGAAAGTATATATGGATCTTCCTATCTCGCCGAGCTGAGTCGATCTAGCTATGTATGTCCGTCCGTCCGTCTGTCCATGTTAATTTTAATCACTGTATAGGTCGCAATTATGGCCCGATCTTCGCGACATTTAGAATGGAGGTGGGGCTAGGGTCAGAATAGAACCCTATTTCTTTTGGAGATGATCGCATATTCGCGGTTTAATGGAAAATTTGACTTTTATTTATCACAAATGCTATGGCCTATTTCAACCACTAAATATTACCCGGTTACCATCAAAATTGGGAGGCTTCTGCCCAGCCCAAAGCTCTAGCCCCATGCTAACTTTCGCTTCGATTGGTCTATAATTGTGACCTGTAAAGCAACTGCAAAATCAGGAAATGTTTCAGTTTTTGGCCCATTTCAACCCCTAAAAATTATTCGATCATCTCCAAATAGTGTTATATTCTGGCTCTCTGCCACCTCCATTCTAAATTTCGTGAAGATCGGGCCATAATTGCGACATGTAGAGTGATTACAAATTAACATGGACAGACGGACGAACGGACATACATAGCTAGATCGACTCAGCTCGGCGAGGTAGGAATATCCATACATACTTTCCTATGTGGGAAACCAATTTTTGGAGGTGTTACATATTTTTTTTATAATACCCCCAACATATAGTGTGGTAGGGTACACATATATATGTGAAGAGCAAAAATCATAAAATATTGAAAATTGTGACCTTTGTGAGTTCACAACAGATATTGTATCAGCAAAAATGTTTGTACGTGTGAAATTTGAAGAGATTTGGATGCTTATTTCGCTTTCTTTGAGCGTTTTGTTTTTCAACCTATTTGGGGGCAGGTAGCAAAAGCAATGGTCCGATCTCTACCATCTTCATAACGGATCTTGTGTTGATGGAAATATTGCGATGTACTGATTCTTGAATGGAATCGGATGTTAATTTCACTTTTTATGAGCTTCGTGGATATTTAAAACGTTGAGCCTTTGTGGGGGAGGTACAAGAAGTAATGGTCCGATCTCTACCGTTTTTATAACAGATCCTGTGTTGATGGAAATATTCAGATGTGCCAAGTCTAAATTCAATCGGATGTTAATTTCGCGTTTTATTAGCTTAAGGGATACCAAAATTTCGCTCTTTTGTGGGGGAGGTACCAGAAGGAGTGACCTATATTTTCCATTTTAACAGCAGATCTTGGTTTTATAAAAATATTAGAATGCGTGAAATTTTAAGACAATCGAATTCTTACATCACATTTTATAAAAGTTGTAATTATTCAAAATGTTGTCCCTTTGTGGGGGAGGTACTTGATGGAGTGGTCGAATGCCATAAGTAAACCTTCATCTCCTCGAAATATTTATTAAAAAACAACAAGAAAGTCCTCTTCTACTTAATAATATAATTATATTGGACTCACCAATTATCATGGTAGAAGAATACAGGTAGATGCATCAACGCTTGGGAACATTGATATGTCGAAAAAATTTTTTATTTTCTTTCAAAAATAAATAGAATTTCCTAAGTTTTCTTATACGACGCCAATCGGAGGTTGTTATGATATGCATTTTTCAAGAATTTGGACAAATTTAAATAATTTTTCATTTAACATTTTCAATCACAAAATTGGGTTGACAGTTCATTGTCCCAGCAGCTGTGTCGACGCATCTACCTATATTCTTCTACCATGCCAATTATCAAGCTTTATGAATGTTTCAACACCTAGGTATATTCCAACTGAAAAAAAAAAACTCAAAATTCTCGTCGTTCCAATGAAACGATAATTTCACTTTCTAGGTCGATTTTGATATCTACCTTATTCCACCCAAAAATCGTAATCGATTGATCGATTAGTCAAAAGTCGGCCTACATATTCCTTATAATTACCATAACAAACAATACAAAAAAGAAAAAAGGAAGAAGTAATGTAATACCGGAGAATTTTGGATGATTTCATAAAAAACAATAATTTTTTTAAAACAAAACTACCTAAATTACAAAACAAAATGTCTTCATCAAAAGCCATTAACAATATGGGAATGGGCATTGTGGAACCTCAGGAACGGATGCACAATCTAATAAACTTTGGCAAAGTCAACGAAATTGATCCAAAACAATCAATCTATCGGTAAGTTAATCTTGAAATGTGACCAAAATAGGCGAATTCCAATTGGCTTTGTGGCAAACAGTGATTGTCTTGAGGAAAATTTGCATAACAAACAATTTGGCCGATAACCTTCTTCAATTGGCATAACTAAATTATGGAATGAGTGTAGAAGGTCCATCGAGACAAGGTCGTCGTCGTATGTGATGACCTTATTAGTAGCAGGTTATGTGAATCCTTTTGAAGGTTAGCCTCCTGTTGATAGTCGCCAAAAACAAAGCAAGGCAGTCCTTGAATGCAATGCTGCTACTTCACACAATGCGTGGCGGTAGTTATGTGTACTAATAATGCATTTTGTATTCTCTTGTGTCTTTCTTGCAGTTACTATCGTTCGGGCACGGAAATGTTACGCATGGCTCATGGTATGAAACATTTTGTTAAAAAAGTTTTTAAAATGTTTGTTTTTTTTTTCCTATAGAATTCTGTTTTGTTTTTAATGTTTTGTTATTGTTTACAAGTGCTGTATGGATGATTCATAGTTTCACACTTGCTATAATTGACTTATGGATCACTTGATATACCCCAGATATTTACATAAACATTATCTTTTATAAAATTATTGTTGATAGATTCACAAGTCACGCGTTTGTATTTTTAAACCCTACATTTAGAAAATCTGCTAGGTCGGTGAATCGTATCAATATTTTATTAGAACTAATACCATTAAGTCATACGTCTTATCGAGTGTTAAGGGAAATCTGCAAATGAGTTGATAGAGAAATTAATGTTTTTCTATTCATTGATTTTTAATAATATGAGATCTATATACACATTTTTGTCAACTGACGCTTTATTGATTAAAAAATACTTTAATATGTATATCCAAAATAGACTAACGATCCTCGAAGTAAACACTACTGCAATTTTCATATTCAAATTAAGTATCAGAAAAAATACTTTTAAGACGGAAAACAACAAATGTCACTAATTTGTTTACTTTTTACTAATTTTGCATATTTTATTTATAGAAGTTTGTACTTATCCTAGAAGTCGGCAATTTTAAAAATCTACATATGATGTTTTGGAAATACATCAGAAAGGCATCATTTTGATTTTCTCCTTAGTATCAGAAATGTATCCTTAAATGTCTACGAAAAGTGTCCAAATAGTTTATAACCACACTTTTTAAACTACTATTTAAAATACATCCAGTAGGTATTTCTCCTTTAGGAAAAATCCATAGGCCCTAGAATACAATATAGAAAACTTCACGAACTTTCCTAAAATAATCCGATAGATCAGGATTCTTAAATAAAATATCCTAATACATTTGAAAATAGTTCTTCAAAAATATTTGTGAAAAATTCTACACTTTCCTAATGGCTACAAGTATGCAGCTACATAGGAATTGACCCCACCACATTTTTGGCATACTAGGCTTCTTTTCCAAAAGAATGTGCCCAAAAGACTTGTGTCAGATCTAATATCAAGAATATTAATATAAGTTTCTAGCCGATTTGTTTAACATAGGGTCTGGATTCTGCGATACAATTCATTTCAAAACATCGTTTCTGGACTTTATAATTTCAGATTTGTCTGTCTGTTGTAATCACGCTATCTTTCGAACAAATTGAGATAAAAATTGTGCATACATGCATAGTGTACCAGTAGGCAGGTTAAGTTCGTAAATGGGCCATGCCGGTCCACGTTTTCGTATATAACATTATTCACTGGAATCGTTTAAAATTTCGTACTGGAAGATCCTGATGGGTACTACAACCTATGGTAAAAAATTTCGTATGCCGGTCCACGCCTTCGTATAGCCCCCATATAACGGTTACTCCCGATATTCGGTATTTTTATGATTTTAGCTACATTATTTATCGGAGTTATTCCCAATTTCGTATTTGAAGTTCGTAATGGGTATTGCAGTCTATGACAAATTGTTGTATGCAGTCCATGTCTTCGTATAGTCCCCATATAACGGTTTTCATTTAAGTGGTAGTTTTCGGATTTTTTTTTTTTGATATTTTTCAAGTTCCTTCGAAATGGTGGAGGGTTTTAAAAGTTCGGCCCGGTCGAACTTCGCTGCTTTTTTTTTCCTGTTTATCTATCAAACAGTTTAATACTTCAAAATATCTCTATGAAAACAACCGGAGAAATTTTACAAAACTACTTGCTATGCTTTAATAATAACTTACTTTTTAATTCCGTATATTCCCACATAGTTTCAAAACAATCATAACCGTTCTAATACTTCTCTATTATTTTTCTTACATAAAACTTCCAGTGTATTTGAACGAGAAAAATCATGAGAACGCTTTTATTTTATACATGAAATATTTGACACTATTTGTCGAAAAGATACGAACACATCCAGATTTTCCCAGCATTAAGTCGGAAATGAAAACCATCAATAAACTGATCAAGGAAGAAGTAATGCCTACATCAGAAAAATTACGACTCAAACTGCTGGATCGCTACCAGCGAGAATATGAACAATTTTTGGCAAATAAAGAGGCTGAGCGAGTGCGTGAATTGGAACGAGAAAAAGAACGACGGCAACGTGAAGCAGCATCAAATAATTCGACTCATGGCTCTTCTATAATACCCGCCAATCTGCACGTTCAAATCGATCCAGAAAATACACCATCCGCACCAGATTTGGGTCTACTCGATCAAGTGGTGTATCCCAATGATTTTCCCACAGGTGGTGGGCAAAAGAGTAATTTACTATTACCAAGTGATAGCGTGGACAGGGATAGCAAAGGCATGAGGTAAAAATACATTTTATTTAAGTATGAAATACAAATTTAATGTCAATTTCTTGAATCTTAAATTTTTTTTAGTATTCCCACAAAACCCTCATTTGATCGTTCACAAAAACCGCAGTACGAACGTTCGGATTCTTTGTTGGCTGGTTCCTTGCGCATGGTTGTCATACCACAAAATACAATGGATATTTTCCTACAGTTGGCCAAATCGAATACGGCAAAAAATATTGAAACTTGCGGCATATTGGCTGGTTCATTGGCCAAAAATCGCTTGCACATAACCCACATTATAATACCCAAACAACATGGCACACCCGACTCGTGTAATACCATGAATGAAGAAGAGATATTTGAAATACAAGATGATCAGAATTTAATAACGTTGGGATGGATTCATGTGGGTTTTTTATGGTACAGAAAATTTAAATTTGAATACTATTTTTTGTTTGTGTTACAGACACATCCAAGCCAAACAGCATTTTTGTCTTCGGTGGATCTACACACTCAATTGGCCTATCAGTTAATGATGCCCGAAGCTATTGCTATCGTCTGTGCGCCCAAATATCAAACGTAAGTTTTGTAAAAATGTTCAACACTATATAATAAGAGACTATAAGCTTCTTAACATCCCTGTGCAATGAGTGTTCATTTTACTTAAGCTGTTTAATTAGAATGTATTCTCACTAACATCAAAAGAAATTACCTTCTACGATACTAAGTCATCTTTCTTTTTACCGTTTACCTCGAAACAACACCCTTTCGACAAGAGTTCCAAACCAAGTTACATGTTTTCGTTTTGGGAAATTATTATTCGGAATGCTTACTACCATTTCTTTTGGATGGACCTTAAGCAAAAAAAGTATTGCACCATCAGTATTTTGGTATATTAGTAATCACTTGAACTAGCCAGTTTAGTGAAGAGTGTTGGTTCCGACTTATAGAAGAGGGTAAGCTCTTACGTCCTTTTCAGTTAAAATATTTTCCTAGGAAGCATCCTTCCTCCACATTAATCTTCAAACACAAGTTTTATGAATTGGCCTCGAGGCCCTAGCATCTAGAACATGTTGATAATCTTATCTACGAAGGATCGTTACAGAGATGCAAATTTTAACTATTAAAGTTAAATTGTATTTGTGCAGGATTTTACTGAAGATATTAAGAAAACAGATATTCGGCGGCGAAGCCGTGAAACAGCCTGCTAGTTAAATGTTCTCATTTTTATACCCTCCACCATAGTATGGGGGGTATATTAAGTTTGTCATTCACTCTAGGTTCAGAAGGAAATGAAGTAGGTTGATAACATTTTACTCATATTATATATGTATATTATGTCTGCAGGACATTTGGTATTGAGAATGGGCCATGTAGGTCCACGTTTTGATATAACCCCATAACGGCACCTCCAGATATTCGAGATATTAAATTTGGTATTTGAAGTTCGTAGCGGATACTACAGCCTATGCCAGAAAAAGGTCTATGCAAGTCCACGCCTTCGTATAGCCCCCATATAACGGATTCTTCCGATATTCGGTATTATGATGATTTTAGCGACATTATTTACCGGAATTGTTTCAAATTTCGTATTTGAAGTTCGTAATGGTTACTCAGCCTAAGACAGAACATTTTCTGTGCAGGTACACGTCTTCGTATAGCCTCCATAAAACGGTAGCTCTCGATATTCGGTATTTTGATGATTTTAGCTACATTATTCACCGATTTTTTTAAGTTTCGCATTTTAATATTGTAATAGCTTATGCTAAAAGTTACCTATGCAGGTCTATGTCGTCGTATAGACCCTAATATAACAGCTACATTCGGTATTTGTAAGATTTTAACAGCATTTCTAACGGATTTTATTGCTTTTGAGAATTGCCAAATGGTCGAGGGTATTCAATGTTCGACCCGCCCGAACTTACAGCTTTTTTATTTGTTAAAATTGAAATTAGAACAAATTCAAAATATATTTTTAAGTTATTATGTAGATTTTGATCACATCCAGATCGGAATACGTGGTTTAGGTTTTTCTTGAATCATATGAGGACATGCAAATGTAGTTTAATTTTGCCAGGAAATATTAAAAATTTAAGTAAAAAATAATTTAGATTCTTTATTTTCATTGCATCGTTAATGATTTTGGATCTTTTTTCAATTTCAGTACTGGTTTCTTTATACTTACTCCAAACTATGGTCTGCACTACATTGCTGAATGCCGGCAGTCAGGCTTTCATCCGCATCCAAATGACCCGCCTCTATTTATGGTAAAATTATATTTTTAATGTTTACATTATGTATCAGAACTTATCTGTACTTCTATTTCATAATACCTTTTATAGGAAGCCCAACACATACAAATGGATGCCGGACAAAAAATAAAAGTTGTCGATTTACGAAGATAGTTCCAGGAATTTTATGTCTAAATGGAAAAGGACAGATAGACTACAGAAAATACAGAGAGAGTCAGCAATATTGTAAATTTCCAAAGAAAACTATGAAACGAATTTAAATTTGAATACAAAATTAAAGAAAATTGGCATAAAAGTACTTCTTCACTACACGAAATGGAAATTTCTTGTAATCTCAGCTAAAGCAAAAACAAAAAATTGGCTAAAACAAAATTAAACTATTAACATTTTTTGGCTTCAAAAGGAAACAACAACAAAAATAACCAAAACTACTAAATTATTATTGTGCAAACATTATATACCTATATTTATATTTTAAACTTTAGTAAAACAAAAGTGCTTTAATTGACAAAAAAAGAGAAATTGAACTAGAGAAAACATGAAATGAAATCAAAAAGAAATACACACACACACAGACATAACTTACACACTTAAATTTATTACCAGAATAAAAATAAAAAAATAAAATAAGTGTGTTAAGCAAAAACAACTATTGAAAATAGTTAAGAAACCAGCAACAAATACGTATTGATGACACTTGATATTTTTCGAGAATGTATTTATGTCTAGTTTATAAATAAATAACAATAATTACTAACAACAACAACAGAAAAGAGTAGAAGACAAAAAGCATTAAAAAAATATTTTATTTTTTAAATTTAACGCATATTTTGCCTATCTTAGCATTTGCTCTACTTGGAATTTCTTGTCGTATTAAATAGCTTTATATTAACTTCTATTAACAATTTATTTTTATACTAATCTATTATAAGATAGTTTGGCAAAATCAAAATTAACTTTAAATTATTGTTAAGTAGTTTCCTCCTGGGCTGAACAAATCCAATTTGAGAATACATTTAGATAATTTATTTTTTGAAATCTTTTCCAGAGCTAAGTATTCACAGGTGAATTTAAAATTTCAAAAACTAACAAAGTTAACGAAATTGTTCTACAAAATTCTCTCAGCCTATAAAGGATATAACGTTTATAATTAAAAATCTTTACATTTATTTTTCTATGGATGTTATAAATTTTATGTTAAGCTTAGCCTTATTTTGTTATCTCATTTATAACTTGTTTTGTTTGGCATATATATAGTGTATATACACAACAAAATAATTTGTTAAACACTTTAATAATAAAATAATACTATTTATTGCTGATGACAAATGTTTGTCATTTATTGTGGAATTACTGTTGTTAACGGTGTATTGTCATCCGAAAATTTATAATGGGCCTATATGAATGACTACTAAAATTCATTATCCATAAATCCTCTTCGAAAGAACCTGCAAAAACTCACCAATACAGGGTGAGATGAAAAACCTGCAACCAACTTCAGACTGCTGTCCTTTCCAAGCCACTTGTCCGACAGCTGCTAAAATTTTTCCGGTGACAGCTCAATATAGTGTTTACAAGCGTACAATAGCATTTTGGTGAGGATTTTCCAGGAAAAATGTTATTCGTGATGAAATTCAAGCATGATAGTGTGATTTCTTTATTTTTGGCTGGAAAACCACAAGTGGCTATCGTTAGAGCACTTCAGCATTTAAGTGTGAATGAATCTTTTGTGTCTCTTCGCTAATTACCTTGACACTGGTATCGTAGTAGACGGAAGAAAACAACATCAGCAGAAATGGTTCGAAAAGTAAAGAAGCGACTTGATCGAAACTCAAGCGCCCGCAGTGACCGAAAAATGGCTCGTGAGCTGAACATATCGCAATATTCCATTCGGCAAATATTGAAAAATGAGCTCGAGGTAAAGCCATTGAAATTCCAAAAAGTGCAAGAACTCACACCGCAACAAAAAGAAAATAGATTCGAAAGATCTAAAGCATTGCTTCGCTTGGTCGAAAGTGGTGAACAGCCGAATTTGGTTTTCGATGAGAAAACATTCGTTGTCCATCAGTTTGTACACAAACAAAATAATCGTGTTTACTTGCCAAAGAGGCCTGCTGAAAATGTGCACCTTCAAGGGCCGGGCATGTTGATGGTGTGGGCCGCCATAACAGCCGATGGTCGCTCTCCGCTCGTATAAATCGACCGCGGCATCAGAATAAATTCCGAACATTATCGTTTTGAGGGTGTATTAAAGCCATTCCAACAGGAGTCATCCCACTAAGCACGTGCCACCCAAGACTGGCCATAATTCGTGGCAAAGGTGACCAATTCGAACAAATTTTAACTAAATCTTAAATTTGATACTGTTCATTCAATAAAATTAAAAAAAAAATGTATTTTATGGTGTTTGACTTTGTTATCTCACGCTGTATATGATATCATCTTTATTTCCTTCTCAATAATTTGAATAAACAAGTTTTCTCACCACTGTGCTTATTAAAATTATTTTTAGTCATAGAACCTAAATGTTTAGGCGTATTTCCAGTGTTTCATACCACAATTGTTGTGATAAAAATAAAATTCCATCAGCTGTTGGACGAGCATGCGCTTTTGAAAAGGCATCAGAAACCTTCAGTCTTTAGGAATTCATGAGAGTGAGAAAATCCATCCATATTAGAAGTTTCGACATTCCGATAGTCATCCATGTAGATTTGTGTTGCACATTAATGTTATATTTACAGTTGAGGATATAAGTGTGTGCTTCAGAAAAGTTAGATTTAAGGAGTTGGGCAAATATCACCTTGCTTAAAATTGTAATGATGAAATTAAATACAACATTTCAGATCTATTACTTCAACCAATGCCAAATTTAGTATTATTTAGTTCGTTTCGAACAGTTAAAGTACATATTTCCAAAACAATGTCCATATATCAAACTCAGATACCAATAGTAACCGTAATATAATATTTCAGAATTTCAACTCTTTAATTTCCCCTATTACCAAATTTTGTACCATTTAGTACAATTATAGTTGACATTTCCAAAACCATCTCTATATCTTATCAAATTTCAAGATACCAACTCTATCCCTTCAACAAATACCAAATTTAGTACTATTTAGTAATTTTCGCAAAATGATAGTACAAATCTTCAAAACCACCTCCATCGTATATCTAGTTTAGTGCCACTTAGTTCTTTTCGAACAATTATAATACACATATCCAACCAAGAGACACCAAGAGTGAAAATTTAAGGATTCCAGCTTTATTACTTCAACCAATACCAAATTTAGTACTGTTCGTACAATTATAGTACACATTTCCTAAACCACCTCCATATCTCAATTCCAAACACCAACAGAGGCCTCAATATCAAGTTTGAAGATTCCAGCCTCTTTTCCAGCCTTTACACAATACCAAATTTAGTACCATTTAGCACTTGTACAAGTATAGGATGCATTTCCAAAACACCACAAATTCTCAAACACAAAATCTAAATTTAAATATAAAATTTCAGAATTTTATGTCTGTCCCAAATAGCAAATATAGTATCATTCAGTACTTCTCGCACAGTTACAGGATGAGAAAAAAAACTGCAATAAAGTCAAACGCCATAATGTTTACATTTTTTTTAATTTTATCGAACAAAAGCAAAAAATGTCGGAAATAGCATCAAATTTTAGAATAAGTTTAGATTTGTTCGAATTAGTCACCATTGGGACGAATTATGGCCTTCAACCGGTCAATGAAACCGTCACATGCTGCCCGAATGTTGCTCTGCTGTATTTTGGCCCATTCATGGCGAAGCACTTGCTTGAGGTGATCGACACTTTGGTATTTTTAAGTGTCAATCCTGCTTTCCAAAATACTCTAGACACAATAGTCCATCGGATTGGTATCCGGAGATTTTGGTGTCTATAGTGCGTTGGAAATGAAGAAAGGAATCTAATTTTGTAACCATTCTTGGGTGGCGTGTGCTAAGTACAAAGGCTTTGATACACCCTCCAGAATATTTTAGCGATAATATTTGGCATTTATTCTGATGCCACGGTCGATTTATATGAGCGGAGAGCGACCATCGGCTGTTATGGAGGCCCACACCATCATCATGGCTGGCGCTTGAGTTCTGGTGGCCAACCGAAGGTTCAACTAACCTCTTTGGCAAGTAAACACGATCATTTTGTTTGTTTACAAACTGCTGGACAACGAATGTTTTCCCATTTTGAGGCCACTATCGTTCAAGTCGCTTCTTTGGTTTTCGAACCATTTCTGCTGATTTCTTCCGGGATACGCTACCAGTATCACGGTAAAGAGCGATGGTACGAGACGCAAAAGATTTATTTAAATGCTGAAGTGCTCTAACGATAGCCACTTGTGGTTTTCCAGCCAAATATAAAGAAATCACACTATCACGCTTGAATTCCATCATGAATAACTTTTGTTCTGGAAAATTCTCACCAAAATGCTTTTGTACGCTTGTTAACAATATAATGAGCTGTCACTGGAATAATTTTAACAGCTGTCGGACGAGTGGCTTAGAAATGCAAACGAATATATTCATTTTGTGATACTAACATAATCCTTATCGAAGTCATATCATGCTCTACACAGCAATGTTAAATAAGCATAGTGGTGTAGGGTATTATATAGTCGGCCCGCCCGACTTTTGACCTTTCCTTATACTTATACTCAAGTTACAAACTTACCTGAGTATATGCAAATTAAAATTCCAAACTCTTTAAATCGAGAATTACTTTTGCCCCTCACTGTAAGCCACAGAATTGCATGCTATGCAGACCCAGGAATGTTAATTAACAGAGAGCCAAAGAACTTTTGGTTTAACAGTTCAAGCCATCATTGCCTATGAAGGCTGATTCTTTCTGTTTCTTCAATCAGTTCTTCGTGGTTGGTCATCGTTGTCAAGTGTTGAGCGCTTACAAAACGAAAATTATCGAAATAATCACTCGTGCGGTATTCACACCTAACGAAATTACGGTATAAAATTTTTGCTAAAACAGCAACAAAGTGAAACACCACTAGAAAGCTGAAAAAAGATATAGAGAGGAAGAGAGTGAGAAAATAGGAAAAATAAATAAGAAAAGTTGGAAAATTCTTTTTTTTTTCAGTTATTGTGTGTAGAAATTTTGAAGCGATTATGCTAGGAACACAATTGGAGCGAACGACGAATTTCACCCTACGCGGCGACAAAATGAGCCGCGAAAATTCGTCGTATGGAACACAATACCGACGAAATTATAAAACAGCTGATGAAGTTGTTTACTTTTTGCTCATTTGTTGACTACAATGAATTATACAAGAACACATAATTCTTTACGTTCTCTATTATAATTTCACTTATGTCCATCTTCTCTATTATAAATTCACTGATATCCATCTTCACTCAGGCGCAAGTACACAAATAAATAAACAAATTAATTATGTTTTTTTTTTTTATACGAGTAACAGATAGTAGAGTGACCATAACAAATTTTAAAGTAAAAAGTAACTTTATTTACTAAAACACATAAAATTCGTACAAGTATGGCCACCTTGTACTGTTTTGTTCGCCGGTCGCCGGCGTATGAAATAGAAATAAAGCTAATTGAGTTCGCGGCGACCGACGAAATTTTCGCCGGTGCCGTGATTGTGTGCACTTCCATATACACATATGTGTTTTATTTTTGACGACGAACATACGCCGCGAAAAAATTCGTCGTTCGCTCCAATTGTGTTCCTAGCATAAGAAAGTTTTAAAACAGCAACAACAACAAGCAATAAAATAAATTGATAGGGATTTGCCTAATTAATCCCTTGTCAGTGAAGAAGAGAGAGAGAGGCCAGCCCTCATCCCGTTCTTATTCAGTGTGATTTTCAGTGTTAATAGCAAAGTGAATGTTCTAGGAGTTTTTAAAAAGGCAAACAAAAATATAAGCTTAAAATATTTTCCTGCGGTTGTGGAAGTGCGAAAAAAAGGAATCCACAGCTGGAAGCAACTCGTAACCAATTAAAAAAGAGATCAAGTTGTAATTATCCCGAGAAAACTTGGAAACCTATACTTCTTTCTTCGATTGAGGCCATCAAACCGAAACAACCAACCAACCATCTCAGCCGACCGACCATCAACCCCACTTGTCAAACAAAAGTTATAATGTTTAATAATTTTTGTCCACTTGATTGGATAATACAGCCAGTTCAATGTCAAGATGTAAGTTCACCATACCCACACAAACTTAAACTAACTATTTTGTTGTATTTGTTTTTTTTTTGGGGAAATTAGAAATATTTTCCTCCTTGTGTTATTTGTTCGATTCAAAAGCCTTCTACAATTTACCACCACTCCTTTCAACCTTTTTTTGTATTCTTCTTTTGTATCCCCTCTTTAACAGTATTTCTTAATGTCCCCCTCTTTTTGGTTTGTATTCTGTTTATCCACTGTTTTGTTTTTGTCATTGTTTATTGATTTATGTAGCGAGAGAGAGGAGCTTGCGGAGAGAGCTGAGGTCGAAAAACTGAATTGAGTGATATAAAATGAGAAGAAGAGGAAAAGAGAGAGAGAGTGCGAGGTGTTATTGTGTATTTTTTGTTTTTGTTTGTTGTGCTTTTGATGTCCGTGTCCTGTGTTGGAATCCTTTTATTATTTGACTGTGTGAGGATTGTGTGATTGTTTACTATTGTTGTTGTTGTTTCCCTTTTATGTGCCAGTCACTGTCACTGGCATTTCAAATACTGATGGTTTGCCTGCAATTGTCATTCGGTCTTTGATTTTATGACAGTTTCAATTTGTTTTTATTTGTGCCCTACACTATTCTTTATTGAAACTTGCCGGTATTTTGTGTTTTTTGTTTATGTAAATAGTGGGGTATGCAGAATTAAAACAAAAACAAAACGGAAAATCATTAAACTGGAACCGGGTTTATATAAATATATAGGGGTTCCATAATGGAAAACCTTACAAGTTATGAAACAATTTTGAAAACAAACAAGTATGCAAAGGCTACAGTCGAGAGGGGCCGATCGTTGAATACCCTACAACACTATAATAAACCATACAGTTTATATAGGCGAGATACTCGAAAGAATTCCACAAGATATGTGACAAATAATAAAAGAAAACCATCAAGATTCGTTCTCTAATTTTCGAATAATAGCAACTTAAACTAATTTTCTCATTTCGAATTTATTGGTAGATGTTGCACGTAAATGGTCTTCCTAGATCTGGACCAATATTTCTCAAAGACCTATAATCTCTCAGAAGTTGCAAAAGATTAACATTTATTATTGGTTTTTGACTAAACCGCATCTATATGAGATACAGACATTTGACTATATACTTCAACGAAATCAGCCTTAACGAAAAAGTCAGAAGTGCGTCTTTCCTGTATTTGTGAATTCTCCAAAAAGTCCCTGGAATGGACATTTTCGTATTTTGTCTACAAAAGTTGGCCTAAATATATGGAGATCATCTCCAAAAAGAGTAGGCTTCTATTCTGACCCTTATCTTATCCCCATGCAAAATTTCGTAAGGATCGGGCCATAAATGCGATCTGTATATGATATCCTGATATCCCAACTACTTAGTTTTGTTAGCTGTAGAAAAATTACCAAATGTTTAATTCAAAATGAAAATATGCCAAAAATATGACAAAATTGAAAAAAAAAATATGAGAAAATGTTACAAAATCAATATTTTCATCTTTAGAGAGATATTTTTATGCGATTTTTAGACGTTTTTTCTTTCCTGCCAAGAGGCCATTCTGAATTAATGAGAACTGTCGAAATCAGTTCAGCCGTTCTCAGCATATATAAGATCTTTCAAGCATATCTTCTTTGATAGACATATATATCGCACATATTTTGCTATATATCCGACTTGTTGGATGTTACCATCAATGTAAAGGTCAGAAGTAACCTTGTGATGGCTTTGTGATTTCGCCGGGATTCACGGTTTAATGAAAAATTTTGAATTTTTTCAACACAAAAGATATGGTCTATTTTACCCGCTAAATATTATCCGATGACCACCCAAATTGGTAGGCTTCTTCCCTGCCCTAAACACTAGCTACATACGAAATTCCGCGTCGATTGGTCTATAATTGCGATTGTATAGCTACTGCAAAATCCGACATTTTTCAGTATTTGGTTCATTTCAACCCCTAAACATTTGGCGATCATCTCCAAAAGCAAAAGGGTTCTATTCTGGTCCAAGCCCCACCTACATTCTAAATTTCGTGAAGATCGGGCCATAATTGCGACCTGTAGAGTTATTACAAATTAACATGGACAGACGGACAGACGGACAGACGGACGGACGGACGGACGGACGGACGGACGGACATACATAGCTAGATCGACTCAACTCGACGAGATAGGAAGATCCATATATACTTTCCTATGTGGGAAACCAATATTTCGTAGTGTTACATAATTTTTGTCCCAATCAAACTTATAATACCCCCAACACATAGTGTTGTAGGGTATAAAAATAAGGCATTCAATAATGCCAAAAATCTGGGATAACCGTTATGTGAAGGATATATACTAAAGATGGTATTCTTTATTTTATAAACATCAGGAAGAGCATAAATTGTTTTGACTTGCCAAAAATCATAATCTGGAAAAGTTCGCTAGTTATCACGGTTTGTGGAACTAATCTATCTTCTATATATTTTAAAGAGTAGAGAAATAACTGACTGACAGAAATTTTGGACAAGGGTCATTTTGGTGGATAGTTTGAGTGGAGTTGAGAAATGGGAAAATTGAGATTTAAGAAATTTATACTAAAAGGTACGAAAAGTACCAAAAAATTAATACCTTGTATTGGAAAAACGCAATGAGCTAGAATTTTGAAAGTTGGAGTCACTGATGGAGTGTGAAATAAGTTCTAAAATGGTGCCATTAGATATTATGTAAACGGATAATAACTAGAAATTCGGTACGAGAGCCAAGGTTGGAAAGAAGTAAGGACGTGAAGGAACGTTTTGAATTTGAAACTTCGATCCCTGGTGGTGATAGGTTTGTGATGACCTAGTAGTTTTGGAACTTTATACCACAAATACACTAAATAGTATATTTGGCACAATTTGGTATTGAAATTTGGTATTAGCGTCCTATACATGTGTAGCCATATGAAGGTGGTGTGTAATATACTATGTTGGTGGTATGTACTATAATTGCACGAAAAGTATGGAATGGTACTACATTTGGGTGAAGGGATAGAGATAAAATTCTGAAATTTGATATGGAGTATCTGTATTTCAGTTTTGGCGGTGGTTTTGAAAATGTGTGCTATAATTGTTCGAAAAAGTACTGAGTGGTACTAAACCAACTTCAGACTGCTTGTCCGACAGTTACAGCTCATTATATTGTTTATAAGCGTACAAAAGCATTTTGGTGAGAATTTTCCAGGAAAAAGTTTTGGTGAAGGAATTCAAGCGTGATAGTGTGATTTCTTTATATTTGGCTGGAAAACTACTAAAACTAGTGTCTATCGTTAGAGCACCCCAGCATTTAAATGTGAATAAATCTTTTGTGTCTCGTACCATCGCTCGTTACCGTGATACTTGTAGCGTAGCCCGACGTCAAGGAAGTGGACGGAAGAAAACAGCAACGTCAGCAGAAATGGTTCGAAAAGTAAAGAAGCGACTTGATCGAAAATCGCGTCGTAGTGGCCGAAAAATGACTCGTGAACTGAACATATCGCAATATTCCATTCGGCAAATATTGAAAAATGAGCTCAGGGTAAAGCCATTGAAATTCCAAAAAGTGCAAGAACTTACACCACAACAGAAAGAAAATAGACTCAAAAGAGCTAAAGAGTTACTTCGCATGGCCGAAAGTGTTGAACTGCCGAATTTGGTTTTCTGCGATGAGAAAACATTTGTTGTCCAGCAGTTTGTAAACAAATAAAATGATCGTGTTTACATGCTAAATAGGTCAGCTGAAAAAGTGCACCTTCGATTGGCCACCAGAACTCAAGCGCTGGTCATGTTGATGGTGTGGACCGCCACAACCGTCGTATTAATCTACCGTGGCATCAGAATAAATGCCGAATATTATCGCGAAAATATTCCGGAGGGTGTATTAAAGCCTTGGGCACGCAAAAATTTTGGCCGCAGACCTTGGACATTCCAACAGGACACAGCACCATCGCACTCAGCACGCGCCACCCAAGAATGGTTACAAAATGAGGTTCCTCGCTTCATTTCCAGTGCACAATGTCCACCAAAATCTCCGGAAACCAATCCATTTGTGTCTGGAGTATTTTGGAAAGCAAGGTTGGCACTAAAAAATACCAAATACCCCAAGCAAGAGATTCGCCGGGAATGGGCCAAAATACCGCAGAACAACATTCGGGCAGCTTGTGACGGTTTTATTGGACGTTTGAAGGCCATAATTCGTGCCAAAGGTGACCAATTCGAACAAATCTAAATTTATTCTAAAATTTGATGCTATTTTCGACAGTTATTGTTTTCATTCAATAAAATTGAAAGAAATTCAAAAACTATGGCGTTTGACTTTGTTGCAGTTTTTTTTATCTCACCCTGTATATTAGTGTTGGAGGCATTCAATTTGAAAAAGATAAAAAACCAATTCGGTTGTGCGTTTAGCCTTCCTATGAGAAAGTTTTTATCTTCCTAAGTGTGCTAAGGAGATTTTAAAGTCGAAGAATGATATACTATGCCTATGTGACATTAAATTCCAACTGTATGCCCTTTATCATTAAATGATATTGATATACGTTTTGTTTTCATTGGACAGTGCAGTACTAAATTAGATTTCATTTACTAATCTCAGTTGTTATTCGACATTCAACTTCACCTTCATTCATTTCATATTTGATTGTTTACACTGTCAATAATATAAATCTCTAAGGACATAATGGGCAATTTAATACCAGCAACTTAACGCGAACACAAAAAAAAAACAAAATGCCACACCTTGCAAAAAGGATATTGGAGTTTTTTGCATTTATACCATTTTCATTGTTGTTTGCTTGGTTCTTTCCCTTTCGATCCCTCTCCTTCACTGAGGTAATGACACTTAACGGAAATGTGAACTTGGATCACATGTTTCATTCTTTTATTTTTTATTTTTGTATCTTTTGATTTCCGTTTCGTGAATACGTAAAGACCTGATGCCATAAATAGTGTGGAAATGCTGTCACAGAGTCTCCGACACGTGTAATGAAGTATTTATTATACAAAT